CTATTGTGACTTATAATGTAAGATTATTATAATACTAACTGTAGGTATGCATTTATTTTCGATTTAGCCCATAAAACATGAGCCAGATATATAAAAAAAATATAAAAAATAAAAAATATATAATAATATGGATCCACGTAGAGCGTATAAGGACTTTAGCTTTTGGAGACCTAATCTTAGTAAGACTTTTGCAAGTTTAAGGGCGCCCCGAAGAGTGTGTATGATGAAACGAGTGAAGAGGTGTGTATTTGAGTTAGAACTCTATTGGACTACTCCGTAAAAGATTTATTATAAAGAATTTATTTAAAGTTTAAAATTTTGTTAGTTACCATTTAATTTTGAAAAAGAATTTCATGTAGGTAAATTAAATATATTTTTACAGAAATTATTAATACAGAATTCGTTTCCCTTTTCAAATGTCATTAAAATTCAAACCGATAAGCATTTCCTACATATATAATGAGTTTCAAGACAGATATCTCAATATATTGCTTATAGTTTATTGTACAGACTGACACAGAAACGTTCTGAAAACAAATTCATAATATGTATATCAAATGTCGAGTCAACAACTTGATCCTCTTCATTAGGATTTTCTTACTTATTTCTTTTTAAGAGAATACAATTATATATAGATTTTACTGTAGATTATAACAAAATACTTGTTCTTAGAACCTTTATGGCTCTCAAGGAGGATGCATTCTTTACTTAAAACGTCGAGGAAACGGCGACGCGGCCACATTTTTATGCAGATTTCTGATTACGCCAGGGAGGGAGACTGCGAAAAAGGTATTAAAATTCAGTAACATATCACTTTATTCTATTTGAGCTAGCAGTCTTGGTTGCATTTTGTTTTTTTAATATATTAATTATTAAAACCTTAAAAAATTATATCATAGAGTTTAAAAATAAAATTTTATTTTTTTAAATAAAAGATGATTATAGTTTTACAGGTAAAGCGAAGCAATTTAACGTTTAAATCGCTACTAATAAGTACATAATACTAAAAAACCTCTTCCTTTTTGGTTTCTTGAAAGTCGATTAAAAATGCTAAAATATGTTTATTTGTTTGTCTGTGTCACTAAGCTACGGAATAACAAATCATTGTGTTTTTGCATGATTATATTTAATCGGCCCTAGTGTGTCATAAACAATTTTTTATCCAAATATCAATAATCACAAGCCTTGTAGCTTACTATGGAACTATATGGTGCTGTGTGTTAATGTCCCAACATATTTATTTATTTAATTTAATCTGTTTACACCACATTCGTCATCGTCGTCCTTAGTTAAATAAGAAAAAAAATTGCGTTTAAATTGAGAACCTTCTCTTTTCCCGTATCAGTTAAAAGGGACGAATGTTATAACTTTTGTATAAGTTAATATTACAGACGTTGATTTATAATTAATTACGATTGTAATATATTATTTGCGACATGGATGTATAGCAAACATCCTCTGCAGAGGACGTATCGAGGAAATTGCAGAGGCAAGTGATATTTATGCAGATTCCAGATTACGTTGGAATCTGTCAGATAGCATCTACAGGTACACTGGGCTAGGCTTTGCGAGATAATCACAATGGGTGTTTTCGTTTATCCCTCGACCATTTTAATATAAAGTTTTAAATATGTGTAGGTTTGTCTGTGGCCATATTCATTTTTATTGGTCGAGCCCCTAAACTGATTTCATTTAATCAAATTTAGTACAGTGGTACTTATAGATTAGACTTATTTTATGTAAACGAGGGCAAAAGAAAAATAAATGTGTGTGTGTACTTATGTACGCACGTAAGAAGTTATACTTTTTTGGCGTAACAGAACAAAAATAGCTAAAAATTTCATCCTGTATGTCACAACTCTCTGTTTGCAAATGGAATGATAAATTAATAAAATAATTAAATAAGGCATATTACAATCATATATTTATAGAATATCATTTAAGGAAAGAATATAATATTATATATCATTTGTTAGACAATAACAACGGTTATTATGGCAACAAATAGTTGGCAGCTAACTTCATCATGTCGCTTTTTGGCTGTTTGTGTGCGCGCTCATCGGTAAAATTTTACTCTTATAATTTTTTCAAAACGTCCCAAAAGAAGTGTAACTTTAAAAGTATCCAAGAAATTAATGATGAAACTATACAAAAATTGACTAGGGTATTTATGCTGAATTTTAGTGTAAAAAATGTTCTTAATAATATGTAAGTACACAATCAAATAGTATTAAGTAAAAAGTATTTTGTCACTAGGGTGAGAAGTGAGAGGTTTAAGCGGAAAGTCAACTGTTGAATCGTATTATTTGATTACATTTTACAAGGCGCTAAGTTGTTAATGACTCTACAAACGTGAGGTCTGACTTGAGATAAAATATGTACTTAGAAATGAAGAAACTGAATAAAACAGTAGGTACTTAGTGGTTAAATATTTTTATGAATGCCACTTCATAAAAACTAGATTTTATCCAGTGATAGAAATTCGACCATAATTTTTTTTTTATCGATAACATTAAAGTACGTTAATGTCTACAAGACAAAAAAATCGGTTAACAAACAGAAGAGAAAAAGAAGAGAGACAAAGGTACTGAACTATTTTGTCTTTGTTAATTTATGTAGAGACAATTTATTTTCATGTGACGTTCCACTAATAGGTTAAGCCAATGTCCACAGTGCTGACCAAATTATCAAAGTTGGTGGACTTCTTTCGGAAACTAATTAGGTTCCTTACCATGCTTTTCTTTAACATATAAGCAAGTGGACATCAAGTTGAAAAAAAGATTCACAAATAAATATCCCAAAAGTGCGAGACTTAGGGCTCTATTTCCAAAACGAGTGTGTTCCTAAAAGATAATTTCAATCAAAAATATCTAAATTAATATTTAAATTTATATATATATAAGAATATAGAACGCTTTCCTTTTTAAAAGTCGTAGGATATGGGAGATATAAGCTACATTATTGCTGAGCAACGTTGCACAAGGCAACTCTTCATCCTTTCATATGAAAAGCTGTTAAAGGATACGCAAATTCGATAATTGAGAGAGTGTAATACTAGCGCAAAATAAAAATGCTTATTTACTTTTTATAGCGCAATTTCGTACTCTTAAATTAAATTTAATGAATAACTCTGATAAACGGCAAATTACCTCGTGTTAAGTAAAGCTACAACTATCGCTGTATCGCGAGCATCTCGACAGCGCCATACATTTATAGGTCTAATCTACAACATTCCCACATATTGTTTTCTAAAAAGTTTATTTGTTTTCACACGAATTACTCGGGGAAATGTTTGTATTTTATCTAATTCATTAATTTACGTTCACTTTAAATTATACGCGACGGAAATTGTCGTAATGGTTCGCTGTAGATTTATTCATATTATTATAATTGGTAATTTATATAAATTATAACATAATCAAAGAGATTCTGAGTGTTTGTTATGTTTTTTGAAAAGACTTTTTTTAATTAAAATCTAAAAACATGTGTAAATCAGATATGAAAAATAAAATAACTAGTAGTCAATCCTCAGCAACAAAATAAGAAATCTTTCATCTAAAGTTATCTGATTCAATTGTCTTAGCATTGATTTAATTCGATATAGCATTGAACTTGTACATTCATATTTTTTTGCAAGAAGTATGTTTACAAACATAGCGTGGAATGGCAGTAAACGCCGCGATCATGTCCAATCCTGTGATGTTATCTGTGCGTCGCTAATTGAGCCGCCATCTTGTGAGCACACCAATTAGCGAGGGATATGCTGTCGGTTACATCTCACGATATCAGTTTTTATGGTAATTTGTTAATTATATTAATATATCTACAAATACTCTATAGAAGTACTACTTATGGTAGGTCAAATTTTCCTATAGTTTTTCCTAAATTATGTTTTGCTTTGATTGGCTTTCGATACAGTAACTATACATATCTAGACTCTACCTCAAAAATATTCGACCGTTTACCGTCACATAAGAAAATATACCTGTTTCTCATCTCATCACAAAAATCCTACACATTGTCAAAGCCGATAAAAGGAACACTGAAAAAACATTGATAAAAATTATAAAACCATTATTTGATTTTCACCTGTTTAAAATTAATAATTTAATCGTTTCACTAACTATGTAAAAGTCCACTAATAAAACTGCAAATAGAACGTAAGAAACAACGAAAGAACAAACTGTGATCGAACTTCTTACATACGTCTTAAAATCGAAGTTTTAACCACTACGCATTACGGGTACGAGTAGGGTTATAGGATAAATAGGTATCATTTACAAAATAAACACTTGTTACATCATATAATTATGGTGTAATAGTTGATTGCTTTATAAAACGATCTGCCAACAGCTAACGCCGTCAACTTCGCCGAGGGCTATCATTATTTGCACGATAATAAGAAATAGACATAATATGTAGGCGAGAGTGTTTGTCGACATCTTAGCATAATGAGAAGTACCTGCATAACGTCAAAAATTTAATTTTGTACACTATTTATCTGGCTAAAATGTATACTAGCGACTCACCCTGGCTTCGCTCGGTTTCGTCCCTAGTTTGATTCCCCATACAGACTTTTTCCCTATTTTCACCCCCTTAAGGGATGATTTCCGGGATAAAAAGTATTCTATGTCCTTCTCAGGCTCTCAAACTATCTTCATACCAAATTGCATCTAAATCGGTTCAGTAGATCCAGAGTTTACTCCCTACAACTTCACAAACTCACAAAATCACAAACTTTATCTCTTTATAATATTAGTATAGATAATATGGTTTCTGTTTTTTAATAATCATTATAGCAACACATTGGATATTTTAAATATTGATCTATTTATTTATCGAATATGATCAGTCACTTCACGCGACTTAAAACTCTTATTTACAAATCGTTAAACTTTTCTCTCCGTATATTCTTTACCAAAAAAGCAATTATGTAGATAAATAATATTTAAAAAAAAATAATTTTAAAATACATAAACAATAAAATGAAGCTTTCTGACCTTGGCTTCCAGAGACTCGAGGTTGACCACGCCGGGCTCCAGGGTTTGCTGTAACAAGAGAATGCTATGTTGTAATAATATACAAACAATGGTTCACTCTGAGTCCTGTCAATGATTGCGATTGGACGCGCCTTTATTAGTCTTTAACGTATTGTTTTGAATGATAACAACAGTTTCTTTACTTTAGACATATTTTAAATTCCTTAATATTGCTTCAAAATGTCTGGATTTATATTCAAGGTGGCGTTTTCATACTTTAATATATGTACATATAATAAATGCGAAATAGCTCTGTCTTATTGCTTACTTTGTTTTGATGATTTTTACCGATTAATAACCGATTTTAATGATTTTTGAATGATACTTTGAATCCTGACAAAACTTATTTTCGATATAAAATCAGATTTCTAATTACAGAAATGATGACTGATAAATGGGCGTTTAACGTTTTTCTTTACATGTAGAGAAGTATGAGATTCGGTATTCCTATATACGAGTTTTTCATTAGAACTTATTATGAGTTCAGAATATACTAATTGGTCAAAAAAATGTCAGCAAAAAATTCGAGCAAGGTCAACAGAATTTGTAAATCTCTTCTAGGAAAATCAATGAATATGTATGGTCGTATATAAAATTTCCTTAGAAATAAATGAGTATAAAAATAAATAAATACATATAAAAGTAAATAAGATTAATCAATATCATTTTTTTATAAAAATACTTATATTTAAAATCGTAAATATATTTTCAATCGTGAAGGAGTTTTCAGAACATTTTCTTCTGGATAAAAACTTGAATTCCCATATTAGAGCAAATACCGAGTACGGTTCTACACGCTTGTAGATATCTAAGATGTCTAGATTTTTTAATACAAGGCGCTCTTGCAATTATACTTTAATTACTTCTTAGTCACTGTTTTTATGAGTCACAGTTAGCTCTGTAGAGCCAGTTCGTAAGTTTTCCAAGTAAACGGAGCAGCGCGGCTTATTAGGGGTTATCAGGCCGTGGCCTCTCTCTGCACGCGACACTTCGACACGAACCATGTTCTTAGAAATATAACAATTTATTGGATACCCTTTGTAAGTCAAGATTTTTAAAAATATAAAAAAATCATTTTAAAACCCTTAAAAATGTATTTAGACCCACCATCACTTCCATGTCATCGGCTAAAAGAGGCGATATTCACCAAGTTGTGTAATTTTCATTGATCAGTGTTGAAATGTAGCTTAATCTATTTATTTGATAAGCTTCAGAACTTTACTATTTTCTCGTTATCTTCTTCCTTGTAGCTTTTTAGAAATTTTAAAGATGGTGTCAAGACTTTTATGTTATAAATGAATAACTACTAACTAGTTCTAAATGAATTTCATCTTCACGAAAGCTTTGATTTTAAAGCGCATAAAGGGTATTTCTTTCAAAATCGTTACATATAAAAAAATTGTAACTAAGCCGAATCTGTACATTAAATATTTTTCGGAAAATCTTATTGAAATAAACTTTATTATCACAGAAAAATTACTGGAGGGATTTTGATGAAATTTGGTATGACGATAGCTGGATATCCGGGTCAACATATAGGATACTTTTTACCGCGGGAAAATATCTCATTTCTGAGAAAAATACAAAAACTCTAATGAAAGAGTATACTAATATGTAAAACTTAAGATTTTTTGGTTTTTGATCACCTGAACGCGGACGGAGCCGCGGGTAATGCTAGTGAATCTATAAAATTTTAGTTTGAAAAGGTTTTTATACTTATTACCTTTGATAAATAAACTGTTGTCAGGAAACAAAGCACAGTTAAAATATATTTATGCACAGACATAATGAAGACTAACTCCATAATTTGATCTTCTATACAAAAATAAAATTGAAATGTCGGTTTGTAATGTCAAAATAACAGGGTGTAATTAAATGCATATGAAATCATATACGGTACTTATAAAAAAAAACACATTTCTTTAAATTTTGTCGATCTGGCTGTCTGTTTGTTCCAGATAATCTCTGAAACGGCTGGACTGATTTTGACGGGACTTTCACTGGAAGATAGCTGATATTATAGGGAGTAATATAGGCTACTTTTATTTTAGAAAAATAATTAGCGTTCCGCTCAAAAAAATTAAAACGTACCTAGGGACGAACCCGGGCGAAGCGAGGATGAGTCGCTAGTTATACATAATAATTTGTCGCAAAGAAGACGTCTACACCGGTGCTTGCACTTTCAATCTCATTTTACATAGCCAGTGGCAAATATTTGTGATTTAGTTTGGGTGTAAGTGTTTTTATCTTGTCTGTGATTCCAGACCTTTTAATCAGGGACTCTACTATAGTCGAACTCGAACTTGATGAGTGTATTACGTTTAATTACTATTTATTTTGTCGAGTTCAGGAGTTAAGGCTGCATTTACATATTTGTAGCAACTGTGTTATTGTAATAAATTCTGTTTTTTTTATTCATTTCTTTGAAGGAGCTTGAAACGACTCAATGCAGCGTTGCATTTAAATTAAATAATTAGTAAGATGATAGATAGCATCATTCATCTGATGTAAACCAGTGGTCGCCAATGCAATGAATATAGTTTAAAAAGCAAAAAAAAACGATAAATGTCTCTAGCCACTAGAAGAGTTGGGGTCGTTGACTTTCTCTAATGAATTTTATAAGGTGTCGCTAATTTATGTATGTTTGACGTGCGCGTGCGCATGCTTGTTTCACGATCCCGACCTGATCGTTTCGATGTGATCGCGATAATGGGCTCATTAAATGACTGTTAGCACGTTCACAAACACGAGAAGTGTATTAACACATTATTATTGCTTGATATAATACAATTTCATTTTAATATTTCTGCAATGGAATCGTACAAGGTCTGAACTACACAGTGCCCTTATCATCCCTTATATTTTGTGAAACGGCTGCTGGCTTACGGCTTTCCTCCTAAAGCGGTTCACTTTCTCTGGTTTTGGTTTTGAAGCCGTTTAATTCTGTAAGAATTTAAAATCATTTCTAGATAACTTTCATGTTATCAATCATTGTAATAAATCTATCTACTTTTGATAGCCTACTTTTGATAGATAATATTAAATATTAATAATGCATGTATTAGTGTCTAAAAAAGCTCAAATGGTACAAGCTGTATTGCAACAAGCGATTGCATGACAAACATCGTCGATGCAGCAGTCAATTTCTTGACAAGGCGGAAACGATGAAAAATATAGTCGAGTTTAATTGTTTTTTCTTTACTATCATATTTTAAATTATGTAGTAATATACTCATTTAAGTATATTTTATGTACAAATAATTAACACATCAGTTTTTATATAAGTTTGGTATTTGGTAAACTAATATAAAGTCATACGGCTTAATTATGAAACATTCCTCAGATATTTCTGCCAAAAGATAGAGCACACTCGTATAATGAGTACTCAAATATAACTCAAACAAATCTAACTGCCTCGATGGTGTAGTGGCTAGCATGTACGGCTGCATACTCAGAGGTCCTGGGTTCGAGTCCCGGGTCGGGCCAAATTTAGTTATTGAGTATTTCTGTATAGAAAGTCTCAGTAACAGCCCGAAGTTGGGAAGTTGGCGGTGTTTCACCCCCGTGCTTCGGAGAGCACGTAAAGTCGTCGGTCTTGCGCCTTAACTCTCACTGGTCGTGTCGAGTGGTCGTCTCACCGGAGTATGAGAGTGACAGGAACAGAGAGTGCACTTGTGTCTGCGCGTACACTTGTGCACTATAATATCTCCTGCGCAGTTGGCTAGTCTCAATGAGATTAGCCGCCGTAGCCGGAATCGGCTAGGAGAACATCACTTAAATATATTAGAAAATCTGATGCTTAGTTATTAGAGCGCATTAGAAAAGCTGTTCACGAGTGATGATTCTGAGAATGACTGCGAAATGGGTATACGATCAACTAATTGCATTTTCCACATTCCTCATAGGCGATGTGGATATCCGTCAGGGTTGCCAGTTGCCACTAGTCTTTGCCATCCATCCGTGTTGGTAACATTTCCGTCGTCTATACTCATAAATGCGAAAATATAAGGCTTTATCTGTCTCTGTCTGTCTGCTCCGTTCTAATGACATTTGTCTGAACCGAGATTGATGTTTAATATTGGAATACTTTGAATACTGAAAAAGGTTATAGGCTATTTATAAAAAAAACACCTTTACATGTGAAATGGTGTTACATATTAAAAATTGTGTTAAAAGTTTTTTTAATTGCTTGAAAGCTTCGCTATGTAAGTAAAGACACGCTGATATCTTGTAGGAGGCAGGGATCTATATACATAATATGTAAGTTTTGCGTTTTATGCTTATATAAAATACATTTTTCTTGCAAGACTATACAAATTCTATATTATAATGCTATATTTTTAATTTATCCTATATTTATAGCCTAGTGATTAAGCTAGGTCTTTTTCAGTTTCTCAATAAACATATGAATGTAAAAAAATTGATAATTTAATATATAAACATATTTTTTTATAATAAATAGAAATTGAATAAATTTATTTCTTGAACAGTCGAACGAATATCGATTAAGTCATATCGCGTTCATCAACTACGTAATATTATTTATGGTTTTAAAATGCTAAACGAAATTATAAAGAAATATTTATTATATTGCTTTATATTATCGAATATAGAAAGAAACTTTAAAATTGACATACTTATGTATATATCACTTTATAATTAAATAAAATCTTGCATTTTTGTATTACTAAATTCATTTTAAAGTTTGTTGTTATTAAAAAGCGTAAGCACCCATATAGCCTATGTCATCTTTGACTGGTTTCTTACTTCAATGTTGAGAATACCGTAAAAATCGATTAAGTTATAATATTATTTTCCTTTCCATCCCATCAAAATCTTTTTTGTCTAAGATAAGCAACATCTCTCTTGCCTGATTCCTTTATCCGTACAACAAAATTTGCTATCATACTCTATATTTCGTACTAGAGGTAGAGCACATTATATGAATATATTTTCTGAACGTAGTACAATAAGGCCTTGTAATTTAGTGATCGTAATTTATTCCCAACCAACGCAGTTGACGCCGGCTACTCGCTGTACACTGTAGTACAAGTGTAAGTGAAGACTAAAGACAGATCGTGGGCGTGCGGCTGCCTTTGTAGCGTTGTAAGCTTCGAAGTTGACATATAGACAGACTAACATTAATTAATAAACATATATAATAACACAATTTTGTATTTACTTAACAACTAACTACTCATTGTGGCTTTGACCATAATTTTTTGTATAAACTATAGCCGTTGTTGATAAAAAAATAATTTTGACCAAGATCATAAGTCAAAATCTTAAGAACTTAAGTAAAAAGTATCAAATATAAAAATAAAATACGTCGCAGTCATGATTTTAAATACTTTTGTTTGACATGACATATTTTATAGCTGCTTCTGATAGAATAATTAATAATTAATTACAATTTTAATAATATAACAAAAGGCGTGGAAATCACTTATTCTGCGTGTTCACTTACAGTCTTTACTCCTTAATTATAGCGTTTCTCAGCTTATAAAAACTTTGATTTAATGGCAGACTGAGCAATTGTTTGCACGCGAAGTACAGTTGACAGAGTGGCGCTTCGATGAAAATATTTATTAAATCTATACAAGATACCTACCGATAAATAAAATTGAAGTGTCTGTTTGTAATGTCAAAATAACAGCTTAAATGCATATTATGAAAGTATATAGCAGTAGATAGCTGATGTTATTATTAGTACCTTAGGCTACTTTTATTTTAAAAAAGAATCAGTGTTCCGCATAAAAAAAATAAAACTCATGAAATTGCGAACAAAACCGTACCTACGGACGCACCCAAACCACGGTAATATTATATACATATATGTATAACATTGCTGTGCCCAAGCGAAGCGAAGGTAAGTCACTAGTAAATAATACATTTAAAAATGTAGTTTTCTTGCAATTAAAATTATTTACACATACTTTAAATGTTTCGATTTTTCTTGCGTCTTCTTTTCCTTTCATTAATATTTTCTTTACGCCTAAATTCTTTATTAATCAGTAATAAGAGTAGTACTGTTAGTATCGGCTTAATCGTTTCGGATATTATCATTCACGAACAGACTGCAGACAGACACACAATCATTTTTAATGGTTGTTTAAATTTTGGTATAATAAAAATAAACGCCTAGAGCTAGTTATTATGAGTAGGTAACTACTAGTATAGGGTATAATTATTAATTATACTTTTTGTGATATGAAATTACAATTTTTTTATTCTTTTACATACTGTCTGACAGTTGCATAAATATTCATAATTAATTTAAAGAAATTTTGTTAAAAAAAATATATTATTTTAATATAATTTATAAGTTTATTAAAGTAGTTGTCATTAATTTTCTTAAAAATATATAAAATGTTCGTTCTTTTCGATAACCGTTAAAATACGACACAATTGTTATAATTTGTAATAATTATTTTACGTAAATCGAAAAACAATAATTTGGCGAAGATACCCACATAAAACATCATCATTTAATAGCTTAAACGAAAATCAAAAAATCAAAAAAAAATCATGTCTTGAACAAATAACCTAATTTCACGTTTCAGAGAAATATTGCCTTCTGATTACAATAAAATTGGAACCAGATAAAAATTCCGATTATATTTCGAAACTCTTTCCATGTTCGACATTCATCGTGGGTGTCCCGACAGGAGTCCAATATTTTTTCATTATGAAATGTACTTACTAAATAAAAAAATAATAATGGCAGCATTGTTTTGATATCAAATGGGTAAAAAAGCTTTTTGTTTTGCTTTAGACGGGTTTCGTATTTCAAAGGGGATCGTGTGTCGGTCGGTAGCGCTGTACTACAATGCTTGGTGCGGATGACATTTATTTTCATAATAAGTATTGCTGTATCATGATGAATCATTATATTAGGCAATTATTTCTATTTATTTTTTTTGTCAGGGGTATAAATAGGGTTTTTATGTCAGAATCAGTGTCAATTTCTGCTTATGGCAATTTAAAACAATAAGTATTCAGTATACTGAATTCTTTCTAATTCTAACCTATACTTTAAAATTAGAAAGAATGCGTGACGATACAGTGGTCAAACATATATTAGGCTGTAGAATGAGAAAATGATTATAAATGAATATATTTATCTATAATATAAAAATGAATCGCTGAATGTGTTGGTAAGCGCAAATCTCGAGAGCAGCTGAGCCGACTTTCCTAATTTTTTTTTAGAATATTCCTTGAAGTACAAGGATGGTTCTTACGGAGAGAAACATTTCAAAAAAAAGCCTGAAAAAGTCTAACAACAACTTGCAATAGCAATTGAGTGACGTTAGAATCGTATAAATATTAATGTTAATATTTGTCAATATTATTAACAAAAAAAAATTATATAGCTAACGCTGGCTAATAACCGTTTATAGCTATTTAAAACGTACCTAGCGACAGACCCGAGCGAAGCGAGGGTATGCCGCTAGTACTTAATAAATGTAGATATTGTAACGCTGGGCATTTAGTACCCTATGGCTGCTTCGCCAGGAAAATGGTGTAATGTTATATAGATTCGATTCCTGCAAGATGTAAATATTAGTACATATTTAACCTCAGCTATATTTAAAAATATGGCTCTATTAATATGAATCAGGTGACACAGAAGTAATATTGTTGATTGAAAGCTTAAGTACACACAATATTTTGTTTAGTACGAGAATACGACTTATTTACACTTTTTTTGAATTAATTGAGTAAAGATACTTATTTATTTAGAACTAGTATTGCCCGCGGCTCCACGCGCGTTCAGATGACCAAAAACCAAATTCTTAGGTTTTACATATTAGTATACTCTTACATTGAGTTTTTGTATTTTATCTCAAAAATGAAATATTTTTCCGCGGTAAAAAGTATTCGATATGTTGACCCGGATAGCCAGCTATCACCATACCAAATTTCATCAAAATCCCTGCAGTGGTTTTTCTGTGATGCGGTAACAGACAGACAAACAACAATTCTAAAAACTATAGATTCGGCCTCTGTATCGATAATAATGTTTATTTGAATAAGATTTTCCAAAAAATATGTAATGTACAGATTCGGCTTAGTTACAATTGTCAATTTTATTATATGTAGATAGAGTTATAAATACGAACTCGAATGGCACTTTTACTTCTTTACGGTCACAATTTTACTCTTCGTGTAACAAGTAATAAAATACTTGGATGATATTGCCCTTACATTGTAATCTGTGGAACGATTTTATAACAGACCCTATAAAACATTTTATACATTTTATGTAACCCATAAAGTACTCATTGGATGCAACCATATCAAGATAGGTGTGTTGAAATGTGCCAAATCATAAAAAATATTATAATCGCATATTATATACGCACTTCCTATAACTAAGCGTCTAAAGATAAATATATTTTTTATTGATAAATTAATTACTATGAAAACAAATATTTTTCCGGGATATAATTACTAGGGACTATTACCTATCTCGGTGCCAAATTTCATCCAGATCCGTTCAGCCGTTCTGACGTAATTGAGTAATAAGCATCCAAACATCTAAACTGTTACATTTATACTATTAGTACATATTATATTAAAGTTTGAATTAAAATTGTAAGAATTTTGATTTGTATAATGAAAAACCTTAATTCTAAAAGAAATTAAATCACAAAGTGAATTTTGTTATAATTAAAGTGTCTTTGAAAATAAGAAAATATTATTTTATACAAACTTACGAGTGAAGCCGAGCGTTGCTGCTTGTTGAGGTCATGCTGGCTACGAGTGCGGTCTTCACCTGCGTCAGAGAACTGCCCCGACTTGCGTGAGCTGAGTAAAGAATCAAATAAAATGTTTTTAACAACAAATAAATAAAGGCGTATATAAAAAAATACAATTTTAAAATTGATATTGTAAATACTGTCACTTTTTTAAAGAGTAATTAGGTATAGGTATATGTAGTTTCAGACCGTTCGTAACAAAGCTGACCTGACTGCAATCAAAGTGCTTGTAAAAAATGTGTACTTGAAAAAAAATGTATTTTAAGTTTGACTATCTATAGGTCTCATATCATTCTTCACTTCCCATTGATTTTATCAAGGCGAATGCGTTAATGAAAAAACACAAAAGTTACCCGAAGAAAATCCATAACATTCATCCAATAATGTACAACGGGTAAATCTCTTCAGTAAAAAGTACTTGGTTGTAAAAGAAAGTAGCATGCCAAAGAAAGAAATTAACCAATTATGTACTAGCGCGGCAGATTCCTTCCATCCACTATAGTCTTCGTGGTAAAATATATTTGACGACACGTTTGGCTCAGTGTGTACTCCAGTCATGGATGTTTATATATATAATATGTATGTATTTAAAGTTATATGTATAATGTATCAACTATCTGGTATCCATAACACAAGCCTTGTAACTTACCATGGAACTAGTTGGTGTTGTGTAACATCAATAGTTGCTCAAGTGAAGGTCCTATTTAAAAATATTTGCGGATAATTATACAAGAGCTAACCTTACTTGTAAGCTCAAATACCAAATATGTATGTATATCTTATGCAATAGTTTCATATTCCAATTTGTGAGTACTTGACAGAAAGCTTCAGTCCGTGACATGGCCTTGTCTGCCAACCTGACACCCTAACTTCATATAAACCTTGAAACACTGCCACAGTTTTGTTTACACAATCTAGATTTCATTAGCAGTCAAGTAATGCCGTTGTAAATGTATCACGACTAAATCGACATGTCATTGTGTTGTAACTGTAGATTATTTCACTGCCGTATCAAATTAATGAGTCATTTGCAAATATTTTGACAATAATAATGTAAATATTATTTTTACCTGATCTTTGCTCATGTTTGTAGGATCCCTTATAAAACTTTAAGATATTCCTTGCTTATGCTCTTATATTCACTACTTTTATAATTGTTAGTGAGTTACATAATTTATAACCATAATTTTCAGTATTACAAACAATTCGTGATTAGTCACTACAGGGTGGTACAGACTAAATAAAAATTGAGATAAAAAATATATTACGCTTTGTATCTCTTCCAGTGTTTAAGACGATGCCTGTCAATTAATTTTTAATAACATTACTGATCTGATAGGTACTTAAATATAATAATCTATATATCTGTATAGTTGACACTACATCACTGGGAATACGATCCATGATTATTGAATATATCGAGCCCACGCTCTGCTGTTATCTAAGTAATATCGCCATTAACATTCCGACGACGCCACCCAGCGCGTGCTATTGAAACGTTGTTTTAACAAGAAAAAATAGAGTTTTATTAAGCTCTTTAAATTTGTTTTAAGTTAAGTGTACATTAAGTTTATATCTGGTAAGGACTAAGGATATAAGACATAAACTGTGCTAAGTGGTAATCCGCTCTCGCTTCGCTTCCTTTGATAATTTTACGAAATAATTTTTCTAATGAAAAGCCTGTATTTTCTATGGGACAAATTGTAATCTATGTAATATAATATATAATATCTACGAGTACCTATATGTAAAATATGGACTGAGAAAACATCAATTTCTCATTCAAATACTCTCGTATTTGCTCTCCGCGAAAATCGAATTTGCAACTTCCGATTATAAGCAGTGCTAATTAAAAAACGATATAATAAGCGCGAAACTTTTTAAGTCAGAGAATGATTGTGTGTGCGTTTATGATTTCTTGACGTGATAACGACTACGGATTTAAATGAAATTCGACATGGATATATATCAAAATATTAGTTAGTTTATTAGTTTATATCTTGGATTTACACAAAGGCTAGTTTATATTGTATGTATCTATTACGCGAGCATAGCTGCAGGTAACAATTAGTATAGTATACCTTCTTACCTAGTTAATTTGCGGTGCGCGCGGCGACCCCCGCTAATCATGGAAAGAGTGCTCATGACCGCCGACATGGCGACGATTGCGCGCACTCATGGGACCTGTACAGGAAGAAAATAGGATCTATCAAAATATCTAAGTATTGTGGGTATAAATAAAACATTTCTTTTGTGGTGTTATTTTTATTTGGTTATTGTGTTCCCGACGTTTTCAATTTTTTACAATAAACATAATCACAAGAGGATTAGCCTCGCCTATTAGATTTTTTTTAATATTAGAAGGTGCTATTAATAATGGTGCCATTTCTCTTTTCTTTCAACAAAGTCGCTAGTTATAAACTTTCATCCCCATTTTCACCCCCTCAAGGAATGATTTCCGGGATTATATATTCCGGAATATCCTATGTTCTTTCCAAGGTCTCAAACTATCTTCTTACCCAATGTCATTGTAGATCGATATGTAATAACTATGACTTTTGAGGCTCTCCCGTCAAACATTCGCGTAAATCTATAATAGTATTATTGTGCGTAAAATTTTTATACGGGACTGTTTAGCTATCGTTTAACTCCGCATTCGTACTTCGTTTAGTCCGTCCTTAGTTTAGTTTTTGGCCGTCTTCAAAAAAAGTCTGCTCACGTTCAGGTATATGTTTGTGTGTATGTTACATGATATCTTAATTAATACCCTGGGATGATCCCACGAAAATTTCAATAGTGATTTTAAGGCTATATTGAAATTAGAATAACTTTTACATAATAAGTTATGATTATACTACTGCGAAATTTCTTATAATAGGAAAAGTTGCGACAATTTTTAATGTGTATAGATTTACACTATCAACCTTCTTCTTTCTTCTACTCTTTCTTCACTGCCTTTGTTACTCACAATAATAGGTTTTTATTTCAGATCGACACGCGGCGTCAGTTTTCAGACTGTAAGTATCTTTTGAATTCTAAAATACTGATATTTTGGTTTTTTCTCGCAGTTTTAAAACATGAAAGTTACAAGTAATTAGTATGATTTGACTTTTCTACATGTTTTCACGAATTTTTAAACAACAAAAAAAATCATTAAAAACCTTGACTAAATGTTATGAGAGATTACTAGTCGTATTATAAATATGGAAATGTGTTGTTAATTTGGTGTTCTTTCATGAACCAACATGATTTGTACACATAAAAACTATAGAGCGGATAGTGGCATTTGTTTTATTTAGGTATGGTAGGTAAAAATCCAAAAATAAATAGGTTTAAGTTACAGAAAAACGTACTCGTACATGTACTTAAAGCCCTGAATACAGCGATGATGGGATTCTATAGATAAATAAATACCAGATAGTTGATACACTACATATATATTATAACTTTAAATACATAAATATTATAAATGTAGATATATTTTACATAGTTCACAAGTCCGTCACGGATTAAACTTTTGCTTAAAGCTTAAATAGCGCCAATTATATTTTTACCTTGTTACAGCAATTAAGATGCCGATTGCAAGAAGTCATCAGACGGTATAAACCTTTACATAGCGAATTCGATTCGATGTTTATCCCACAATTTATATTTCTGAGAAAACAATCATATATTTTGACGTTACAGATAGACACTTCAATTTTATTTATCGGTATAGATCATTTTAATATATTTAGAATATAACAACACTAAATATGAACGATGTCACAATAATAAAGCAGTATTTTATTCTTACAATACAGCTGCGATGCTTGACGAAATAATGATCACAGAGATTTCTTAACCATCAGTCATAAAAATCTTCGAACTACCAACTATTATTTGCAACACCTGACAGCTTAAGCTTCTTCTCCAATAAAGCACGCTGTTCACGTTTAAACCTTTATTCTTATCAAATTCAGTATGCTAATTGTACCAGAATATTAGATTTGTACTATTTTTTCTTATAATGTTTTCATTGAAAGATTTATATTTATCTAAACATAAATATTACAAAAAAGTCACTTAATAAAAGAGTGTAAGCTGTTAGCTTAGTTTTCATTTACTATACATACCTAATCAAATATTTTCGAAGTCGGTGTGCTTTGGCTAAGTAATTAGAGCCTACCTATTAAATACATACCTAATCAAATATTTTCGAAATCGGTGCCAGCCCATACAAAGCAAACTTATAAATCTTGATTTTACTTAAAATCTAACTGTATAAGCTAAATTCCCCATACATTAAATTGGTCGTTACATCTCAGGCCATATTTGACTGACGCTGTAATTATGTACAACAAGTACAATAGTCAATAATCATGCGGTAGTTAGACCATAGAGTCAGCGGATCCGCAAATTGTCTGATGCGTGCCTTCGCAGCTAACGGAGCAGTCATTATGTAATATGGGGCTTGGGATAGTTAGGAGTAAAACAAGCTATTCTTGTCTAAATTTGCCGTTTTTTTACTTTTTAATAGCTTCTGCCCGCGGCTTTGCCTACGTGAAAAGTTTTTTCACGAGATGAGGCTTTCTGTACATAGAAAAAAAGTTATCTTACGCTACATTTCAATACGAAAGTTTGTGACTTGAACTTATAGAAGTTTCGTATTGGAGTGAATAATCGATTATTAATACAGTTAATTTATTAATTTTATTAATACAACACAATACAACACAATCAGTAAGTAGCAAATCTATTTTCCTTTCTCTATAGATATTATAGATAAAATAAAACAACAATAAATTAAATAGTTTTATTTAGCGTGCACAATTTGTAAACATGACATTTTCTAAAATAGCCCGCAGGTAATTGCTTACAGATAAAACTTATATGAAGTAATGCGCTTTATTGCTGTCGCATTTGGCTAAGTGAATCTGATAATTTATATCAACTACAGACTGGCAGCTTTGAAGCAAGTAGGTACACCGCTTAGAGTTCCGTGGAAGGGTTCAGTTGGAATTCGGATTTTTTTAATAGAGAGTATAATAAAATATTTAGATTTAGGCCACAAGAATTTTTATTTAACTAATTTCAGGCGGCAGAGATTAAAATCACTATTTAATATTAAAAAATGTTTACATTAGTTATAGTATTATATCATCTGCGAAATGTAACACCCGTACATTTTGTCATCCTACGACACTCTCAGTGCACGAGCGCGGCTCGCACTTGTCTGATTTTATCAGGACTTGTTTGCCATTTGATATCACAAGTTAATGGATTTGATTACAGACGTTTGTCTCTTGTATGTCAATAAGCAGTAAAATAAATACATTTGTTATTTACATAGTAGACGCATCTTTTATATTGTACTATGTATTAGAAATATTAGAAACATCAAATTTTTACTATATAGCGTAACATATATAGTTAGTTCCCAGACGAAAGGGATGAGTACAAATTATTGCCTAAATGCGATAAATGACAAAATTGATATTTTGATTTGAAAGTAATGATCAGTGACTTAGAATATATCCTGAATAAAACAATTCATACAGTCCAAGTATAACGTTATTCGTGTATATTGTACCTAGAGCTTCTTTAAGGTCTATAATATATACGAAAATAAATCAAAATTACTAGAAGCATTTTAAAATACACCAGATTAAATATCATGTGTTATAAGGCTAAACCACTTACAGTCAATAGGCCAGCCGCCAAACCGCATCTTCCGATAAGATAATACGCCTGGGATGCTGAGCGATGGACCGAAAAAAATATACCAAATGGGATCACCTTAAATTAATGCGGGATATGGTAATCTTGTACTTTGCCATGACAATTACTACACAGACAGCTAAACTTTACATTTTATAATAATTACTTTAAATTATCTATAAAATAATACGTGACTTACTCTTTCTCTCTCTCTCACTCACTGGCTCTCTCTCTCTTTTAAGTTACAAATTAGTCAAAAAAATTATCTCATTATTATATGTTATTTTTTTAATATATGTTACACTAATAATGTCTGTTTGATATACGAGTATACTCGTAATATACAAAATTTTAGAGATATTGTCACTCGGTTAACCATTTACATTTTATTTGTTGGATTTTGACTGGTGTTTTTATTTGAATAAAAATACAGCTTAGTGTCATTTCGCTCGTTCCTATTCAAAGCAAAGAATTAAGTTGTAGTCTAAAAAGAAAAACACGCCGACAGAGCGCCAAATCTAGCTATGTTGTTTTTCGGTATCTTTTTCGGGTACATATGGGAAACGAGTAAAACTATTTTGGTAGACTACCTATATACTAATATATTTTTAAAAATTGTCATGTCATAGCTCACTTAAACGATATAGACCAAATTATCCTCAAACATTTAAGTAATTAGAACTTTTAATGATGTCCAGAACGATTTCGGCCACGGCGGCCAATCTCACTGAGCTAATAGTGCAGAACATATTATAGTGCAGCGTGAATAACGGTGTACGCGCAGACACAGCGTGCACTCTCTATTCCTTTTACTATCAAATTCCGATGGGACGATAATTCAAGACGATCGGTTACAGATCATTTCCACGAGGCACGGGGGTGAAACACCGCCAACCTCCCAACTGTGGGTTCTTATCGGGACTTTCTTAACATAAAGACTGAATTACTAAGCTTGGCCGGGACTAGAACCCTTTTTTTTTTTTTAACGTTGGGAAATGCATTTACGCACGACGTGTGGGACTCACCGGCGTAATACAGCCAGTACTACCCACTAAAACCCAACAAAACCTTCCCCCGTCTTAATGGGGCGTCGCAGGATCGCTTACGCATTCAACTACAACGCCCCGACGGCAGGTCTGCCGAAGCAGACCACCACAACCATGGGGTTGCTCCACAGTCCACTCTGCTATCAGAGAAGTACCAGGAGCAACCCGCATGGTACACCGCCCACCGAAGTGGGCAACCTCCCTATGCGTTTCTTAGCTTCGCGCCCGGTTGGATTGCCGGGCACTACTGAGCCCCCCCACCACGACAAGGTGAACGCACGTTGGGGGGGGGGGACTTGAACCCTGGATTTTACACCACCGAGTTAATTCAGAACTTTTAACATTAATGTTAAATAGATAGTACTTAAAACGGCTCACGTTAGTTCCGAAAACCAACACTAGGAAATCAAA